CTTACAGAGAACCTGCAGCCATGCCTTACTGGCCTTTCACAAGCAACGATTTCTGGGAATATGTAGAATACTTCCGGAGCCTGGGAGCCTATCATATAATCAATGAGATGGCCAGGACATTCTTTGCACACCAGTCTCTTGGCAACACCCTTGGATATGATGTTCCATATCATGAGCACTAGTTCACATGGCAAGAAAACATTGGAATTGTTAGCCTAGCTGTGTTGTTACAAAGCTTTTTTTTTTAACAAATCAAATGTGGAATCTCTGTTCCAGTTTTTTAAATGAACATGATGACACAGTGCCTTTTTAATGGGCAATATATTCTTAATATGCACGTTTTTGTAAAATTATTTTAAAAATTGATTCTAAGGTTGTTTGGGTCTTTTTAGAACCAGCGTGTACTCATATGCTAGAAAGTAAATAACATATGCAAATATGTATGTTTTCCTTCAATTTGTTAATAACATTTTCTGAGTTGCTTGATCCAAAAATAAAAAAAGTATCAGTAAATAAATCTTGTGAGGTTGCATTTATTTGTAAATTGTTGTAATCTTTTTTCCATGCATCCTTTCCCCCATGACACAATCTATTTTTCCATGCATCCCTTTACACATAAGAAAATGTAAAGTAATGCGCATTGGGGCAAAAAACCAAATCTTTATCAGCTAATTGGTTCTAAGTTGTCTGTGATGGGTCAGGAAAGAGATCTTGGTGTGCTGATGAGCAGCTCGATGAAAGTATCAACCCAGTGTGTAGCAGCAGTGAAGAAGGCCATGCTAGGCATCATTAAAAGGGAGATTGAAAATTGAACTGGAAAAGGTGCAGAAATGAGCAACTAAAATAATGACTGGGCTGGGGCACCTCCCTTATGAGGCAAGGCTACAGAATTTGGGGCTCTTTAGTCTAGAAAAAAGGCTTCTGAGGGGGGACATGATTGAGACATATAAAATTATGCAAGGGGTGGAAAAAATGGATAGAGGGAAGCGCTTTTTCTTCTCACACAATACCAGAACCAGAACCACTCCAATTGAGTTGGGAAAGTGGGAACAAAAGAAAATATTTATTTACTGGCATGTTGTTAGTCTGTAGAACTCCTTGTCACAGGATGTGGTGATAACATCTGGCCTAGATGCCTTTCAAAGGAGATTGGACATATTTCTGGAGGAAAAGTCCATTATAGGTTAAAAGCCATGATGGGGATGTATTATCTCTAGGCTTAGAAGGTATCTTAAAATGCCAGATGCAGAGGAGGGGTCTTAGGAGACAGGTATCTAGTTGTCTTGTGTGCTCCCAGAGGCATCTGGGGAGGCCCCTGTGAGATGGGCCTTTGACCTGATCCAGCAGGGCTCTTCTTATGTTCTTCTGTTAATCCATATTTCAAGCCATTAGTGGAAAATTAGGGAGGATATCTATCTATCTATCTATCTATCTATCTATCTATCTATCTATCTATCTATCTATCTATCTATCTATCTATCTATCTATCTATCCATCCATCCATCCATCCATCCATCCATCCATCCATC